TGTATCATCTTTAATTTCTTTCATCAGTGTCTTATAATTTTCTGCATACAGATCTTTTGTCTCCTTAGGTAGGTTTATGCCTAGATATTTTATTCTTTTTGTTGCAATGGTAAATGGGAGTGTTTTCTTGATTTCACTTTCAGATTTTTCATCATTAGTATATAGGAATGCCAGAGATTTCTGTGCATTAATTTTGTATCCTGCCACTATACCAAATTCATTGATTAGCTCTAGTAGTTTTCTGGTAGCATCTTTAGGGTTCTCTATGTATAGGATCATGTCATCTGCAAACAGTGACAGCTTTACTTCTTCTTTTCCGATTTGGATTCCTTTTATTTCCTTTTCTTCTCTGATTGCTGTGGCTAAAACTTCCAAAACTATGTTGAATAAGAGTGGTGAGAGTGGGCAACCTTGTCTTGTTCCTGATCTTAGTGGAAATGCTTTCAGTTTTTCGCCATTGAGGATGATGTTTGCTGTGGGCTTGTCATATATGGCCTTTATTATGTTGAGGAAAGTTCCCTCTATGCCTACTTTCTGCAGGGTTTTTATCATAAATGGGTGTTGAATTTTGTCAAAAGCTTTCTCTGCATCTATTGAGATGATCATATGGTTTTTCTCCTTCAGTTTGTTAATATGGTTTATCACATTGATAGATTTGCGTATATTGAAGAATCCTTGCATTCCTGGAATAAACCCCACTTGATCATGGTGTATGATCCTTTTAATGTGCTGTTGGATTCTATTTGCTAGTATTTTGTTGAGGATTTTTGCATCTATGTTCATCAGTGATATTGGCCTGTAGTTTTCTTTCTTTGTGACATCCTTGTCTGGTTTTGGTATCAAGGTGATGGTGGCCTCGTAGAAGGAGTTTGGGAGTGTTCCTCCCTCTGCTATATTTTGGAAGAGTTTGAGAAGGATAGGTGTTAGCTCTTCTCTAAATGTTTGATAGAATTCGCCTGTGAAGCCATCTGGTCCTGGGCTTTTCTTTGTTGGAAGATTTTTAATCACAGTTTCAATTTCAGTGCTTGTGATTGGTCTGTTCATATTTTCTATTTCTTCCTGATTCAGTCTTGGCAGGTTGTGCATTTGTAAGAATTTGTCCATTTCTTCCAGGTTGTCCATATTATTGGCATAGAGTTGCTTGTAGTAATCTCTCATGATCTCTTGTATTTCTGCAGTGTCATTTGTTACTTCTCCTTTTTCATTTCTAATTCTATTGATTTGAGTCTTCTCCCTTTTTTTCTTGAAGAGTCTGTCTAATGGTTTATCAATTTTGTTTATCTTCTCAAAGAACCAGCTTTTAGTTTTATTGATCTTTGCTATCGTTTCCTTCATTTCTTTTTCATTTATTTCTAATCTGATTTTTATGATTTCTTTCCTTCTGCTACTTTGGGGTTCTTTTGTTCTTCTTTCTCTAATTGCTTTAGGTGCAAGGTTAGGTTGTTTATTGAGATGTTTCCTGTTTCTTAAGGTAGGATTGTATTGCTATAAACTTCCCTCTTAGAAATGCTTTTGCTGCATCCCATAGATTTTGGGTCGTCGTGTCTCCATTGTCATTTGTGTCCAGGTATTTTTTATTTCCTCTTTGATTTCTTCAGTGATCACTTCGTTATTAAGTAGTGTATTGTTTAGACTCCATGTGTTTGTATTTTTTTACAGATCTTTTCCTGTAATTGATATCTAGTCTCATAGCATTGTGATCGGAAAAGATACTTGATACAATTTCAATTTTCTTAAATTTACCAAGGCTTGACTTGTGACCCAAGATATGATCTATCCTGGAGAATGTTCCATGAGCACTTGAGAAAAATGTGTATTTTGTTGTTTTTGGATGGAATGTCCTATAAATATCAATGAAGTCCATCTTGTTTAATGTATCATTTAAAGCTTGTGTTTCCTTATTTATTCTCATTTTGGATGATCTGTCCATCGGTGAAAGTGGGGTGTTAAAGTCCCCTGCTATGAATGTGTTACTGTCCATTTCCCCTTTTATGGCTGTTAGTATTTGCCTTATGTATTGAGGTGCTCCTATGTTGGGTGCATAAATATTTACAATTGTTATATCTTCTTCTTGGATCGATCCCTTGATCATTATGTAGTGTCCTTCTTTGTCTCTTCTAATAGTCTTTATTTTAAAGTCTATTTTGTCTGATATGAGAATTGCTACTCCAGCTTTCTTTTGATTTCCATTTGCATGAAATATCTTTTTCCATCCCCTTACTTTCAGTCTGTATGTGTCTCTAGGTCTGAAGTGGGTCTCTTGTAGACAGCATTTATATAGGTCTTGTTTTTGTATCCATTCAGCCAATCTGTGTCTTTGGTGGGAGGATTTAATCCATTTACATTTAAGGTAATTATCGATATGTATGTTCCTATTACCATTTTCTTAATTGTTTTGTGTTTGTTATTGTAGGTCTTTTCCTTCTCTTGTGTTTCTTGCCTAGAGAAGTTCCTTTAGCATTTGTTGTAAAGCTGGTTTGGTGGTGCTGAACGCTCTCAGCTTTTGCTTGTCTGTAAAGCTTTTAATTTCTCCATCAAATCTGAATGAGATCCTTGCTGGGTAGAGTAATCTTGGTTGCAGGTTTTTCTCCTTCATCACTTTAAATATGTCCTGCCAGTCCCTTCTGGCTTGCAGAGTTTCTGCTGAAAGATCAGCTGTTAACCTTATGGGGATTCCCTTGTGTGTTATTTGTTGTTTTTCCCCTGCTGCTTTTAATATGTTTTCTTTGTATTTAATTTTTGACAGTTTGATTAATATGTGTCTTGCCATATTTCTCCTTGGATTTATCCTGTATGGGACTCTCTGTGCTTCCTGGACTTGTTTAACTATTTCCTTTACCATATTAGGGAAGTTTTCAACTATAATCTCTTCAAATATTTTCTCAATCCCTTTCTTTTTCTCTTCTTCTTCTGGAACCCCTATATTTCAAATGTTGGTGCATTTAATGTTGTCCCAGAGGTCTCTGAGACTGTCCTCAGTTCTTTTCATTCTTTTTTCTTTATTCTGCTCTGCAGTAGTTATTTCCACTATTTTATCTTCCAGGTCACTTATCCGTTCTTCTGCCTCAGTTATTCTGCTATTGATCCCATCTAGAGTATTTTTGATTTCATTTATTGTGTTGTTCATTGTTGCTTGTTTCATCTTTAGTTCTTCTAGGTCCTTGTTAAATGTTTCTTGCATTTTGTCTATTCTATTTCCAAGGTTTTGGATAATCTTTACTATCATTATTCTGAATTCATTTTCAGGTAGACTGCCTATTTCCTCTTCATTTGTTAGGTCTGGTGGGTTTTTATCTTGCTCCTTCATCTGCTGTGTGTTTTTCTGTCTTCTCATTTTGCTTATCATACTGTGTTTGGGGTCTCCTTTTTGCAGCCTGCAGGTTTATAGTTGCCGTTGTGTTTGGTGTCTCTCCGCAGTGGCTAAGGTTGGTTCAGTGGGTTGTGTAGGCTTCCTGGTGGAGGGGACTAGTACCTGTGTTCTGGTGGATGAGGCTGGATCTTGTCTTTCTGGTGGGCAGGTCCACGTCTGGTGTTGTGTTTTGGGGTGTCTGTGGACTTATTATGATTTTAGGCAGCCTCTCTGCTAATGGGTGGGGTTGTGTTCCTGTCTTGCTAGTTGTTTGGCATAGGATGTCCAGCACTGTAGCCTGCTGGTCGTTGAGTGAAGCTGGGTGCTGGTGTTGAGATGGAGATCTCTGGGAGATTTTCACTGTTTTATGTTATGTGGAGCTGGGAGGTCCTTTGTGGACCAGTATCCTGAAGTTGGCTCTCCCACCTCAGAGGCACAGCACTGACTCCTGGCTGCAGCACCAAGAGCCTTTCATCCACACAGCTCAGAATAAAAGGGAGAATAAGTAGAAAGAAAGAATTAGTAGAAGTAGAAAGAAAGAAAGAAAAGAAAGAAAGAAAGAAAGGAAGAAAGGAAGAAAGAAAGAAAGAAAGAAGGAAAGAAAGAAAGAAAGAAAGAAAGAAAGAAAGAGGGGAGGGAGAGAGGGAGGAAGGAGGGAAGGAAGGAAAAAAGAAAGAAAGAAAGAAGATAAAGTAAAATAAAATAAACTAAGATAAAATATAATAAAGTTATTAAAATAAAAAAATAATTATTAAGAAAAGAAAAAAACAGACGGATAGAGCCCTTGGACATATGGTGGATGCAAAGCTATACAGACAAAATCTCACACAGAAGCATACACATACACACTCACAAAAAGAGAGAAAGGGGTAAAAATCATAAATCTTGCTCTCAAAGTGCACCTCCTCAGTTTGGGGTGATTCGTTGTCTATTCATGTATTCCACAGATGCAGGGTACATCGAGTTGATTGTGGAGCTTTAATCCGCTGCTCCTGAGGCTGCTGGGAGAGATTTCCCTTTTTCTTCTTTGTTCTCACAGCTCCCAGGGGCTCAGCTTTGGATTTGGCCCGGCCTCTGCCTGTAGGTCGCCGGAGGGCGTCTGTTCTTCTCTTAGACAGGACAGGGCTAAAAGAGCCGCTGATTCGGCGTCTCTGGCCCACCCAGGCCGGGGGGAGGGAGGGGCACGGAGTGCGCGGCGGGCCTGCGGTGGCAGAAGCCGGCGTGACGTTGCACCAGCCCGAGGCGCGCCGTGCGTTCTCCCGGGGGAGTTGTCCCTGGATCCCGGGACCCTGGCAGTGGCGAGCTGCACAGGCTCCCCGGAAGGTGGGTGTGGATAGTGACCTGTGCTCGCTCACAGGCTTCTTGGTGGCGGCAGCAGCAGCCTTAGCGTCTCATGCCCGTCTCTGGGGTCTGCGCTTTTAGCCACGGCTCGCGCCCGTCTCTGGAGCTCCTTTAAGCAGCGCTCTTAATCCCCTCTCCTCGTGCACCAGGAAACAAAGAGGGATGAAAAAGTCTCTTGCTTCTTCGGCAGGTCCAGACTTTTCCCCGTGCTCTTTCCCGGCTAGCCGTGGTGCACTAACCTGCTGCAGGCTGTTTTCACGCCGCCAACCCCAGTCCTCTCCCTGCGCTCCGCCCGAAGCCCGAGCCTCAGCTCCCAGCCCCGCCCGCCCCGGCGGGTGAGCAGACAAGCCTCTCGAGCTGGTGAGTGCTGGTCGGCACCGATCCTCTGTGCGGGAATCTCTCTTCTTTGCCCTCCGCACCCCTGTTGCTGTGCTCTCCTCCGCGCCTTCGAAGCTCCCCCCTCCGCCACCCGCAGTTTCTGCCCGCGAAGGGGCTTCCTACTGTGTGGAAAGCTTTCCTCCTTCACGGCTCCCTCCCACTGGTGCAGGTCCCGTCCCTATTGTTTTGTCTCTGTTTATTCTTTTTTCTTTTGCCCTACCCAGGTATGTGGGGGTGGGGGGTTTCTTGCCTTTTGGGAGGTCTGAGGTCTTCTGCCAGCGCTCAGTATGTGTTCTGTAGGACTTGTTCCACGTGTAGATGTATTTCTGGTGTATCTATGGGGAGGAAGGTGATCTCCACGTCTTACTCTTCCGCCATCTTCCCGGAAGCCTCCCAATGTGTTTTTAAAATACACACTTTGTTGGGCCTTTTGAATTGCAAAAACAAAAAAAAAACATGTTGGTTGTGATGAGTGAAATGTAGAAATGTATGAAGGAGAGTTTAAAAATCTTCCCTCTCTCCTCCCACCATGAAGATTCCAATGATAAAATGATGTGTCCTTTTACATCTTTCTGCTGACACAAGCATATATAGTCAATATTCCAGCTTTATTTTTTCTTTTATTTTATAAATGGGAATATATATAATTATATATATGTGCACACGTGTGTGTATGTGTATAAAACTCAGCTACTCATTGATTTAACAGTATTTGGACCCCTTTCTATGTAAAAACATTCAGGTCTAGTTGATTCTTCTTAAATACTGCATAATACCTCATTGAATGACTAGATCCTAATTTAGTCCGCCATCAGTTTGTTCCCAGTTGTTTCTCACTACACCTAATGGTACAATGAACTTCTTTGTCCTTGGTCCTTATATTCGGGGTCCTAAATTGGGATTACTAGGCCGATTTAACATTTTAGATGTTAAAAATAACTGTCTGATTACTTTCTTAATCTTTTGCTGCAGTTCGCAGTCTGGGCAGCAGGAACGAGAATGCTCTGTTCCCCACGTCATCATTAGAAGGGGATATTTACTACTTCTCCTCTTGTTTGCCGACCTGGTGAGTGAAAACTATCTAATTTGTGTGTAAAGCACCAACGCTCTTTATTATGGTCAGCGAAGCTGAGTTCAAGGTTTATCAGTACTTCCTGGGGAGCATTTAGAAATGCTGATGCCTGGGCTTCACCACAGACCTACTGAATCAACATCTTTGGAGAGTAGCCCAGGAATCTTTTCGTATTTGTGTTTTAATTTCCCCAAGTGACTCTGGTATAGCTGGGCACATATCCATCGACAGGCAATTGGAAATCATGAATAGAACCTCTATCTAGAACTGAGAAACCTAAACTTCAAAAGCTGCAATTTATTAGTTAAGTGTTTAAGAAAACAATGTACCCAGGTAATCATTACGGTTAGAAATTCAAAAATTCAATTTACATGCAACATTTTAATTCCATGAATTGTTTAAAACAAGGGATACCTACATGTACCTTTCTTTGCTTTAGAGATTAAAGCCCAAGATAGGAGGCAGCTATGAAGTGGATATTTTAGAATGACAATTTCCTGGCCAGCTGTGAATCCCTTCTTAAAGAGCATGAATACTGAATGTCTGATCTTTTTGAAAATGAAATAAAATTAGGGGTGTTCTGGCCCATCATTGCTGAACTCTGTCTCATGGAACTTCCTCACTTGAAGAATAGAGAAAAAAACCCTGCTACTTCAGTTTTTATTAGAATGTATCTGGGCAGAGCAAGGCAAGGGATTGTTAAAGACAGTGACTCTGAAGGAGAGGCCAGCACAGTTGTTTGAGAGGTGCCTTGAGAGACTTGAGTAGCAAAGGCGGAGTCATTCTCTCCTCTCTCCTTGAGACCAGAAAGGGGCTGCCTTATTACCACAAACCAGGAGCAGCCACCAGGTGGCGAGGTTCTCTTATTTTCCTCAAAGCCTAAAGTGTTTAAGGGTGGGAGAGAATAAATGACTTCAAATTCTCAACTTGGATAAAACCAAAAGTGAAGGGGGCAAGGATGCAAATGGCAGACTCTCAGTGTCTCAGATAAGAGCACCCACCTTGCAGGGGGAGTTGTGAGGAAATGCTTAATACATGTGAAGTGCTGAGACCCTGCCTAGCTGGTTTTAAGGACTCAGTAAGCTCCTTTTAAAATATGAAAAGTGAAAGAAAACCTCTAGTATTATAACCTCATCTTAATTGTCTTTATGCTGAGTTCCGTTTCAGTTCCTGTTTTTTCTTAAAATCCTCTACAAAGTCATATCTATGTCAAAATTAAAAATGACCTAGTTAGAATAGATATGTAACTAGAAAACAGGGTTCAAGTACTTCCTCTTTTGAGTGAAAATCAATCAGTGTACAAAACCCCCAAATTTACAAAATGGATAAATTCAAGAGATTGCAAAAGAGTCTTTATTTTAAAAAGAGACTCATCACAAACTTCCTTAAAAGATAAGTTTCCTTTCTACCTTAAGAATTTGATTCAATTTACTAAATTTAATTTGCTCCTGACTGCTCTGTGAACTGAACATATCCTCAGAATCAATTGTGAAGTTGGTCATTTGCCTTCTGCATCCTTTGCTTCCCCTTCTGTAGATTTTCTCCTTTCCTATACGCTTCCCATGCTTCTGTCTCCCGATTCCCTCAGGAGAGGTGCAGACAGTAGGTGAAGATTGGGAGGAAATACAGTATAAAAGCCCTGGAGGAAATACAATACAAAAGCCCTGGAGGAAATACAGTACAAAAGCAAAAGCTGTTTACACTTGGGCAGCCTTCTCACTGGGGGCAGCTTTCACTCTAGGGAGATAATAATGTGGAAGAGGATGAGGAACCATTTATTGAACATTTTCTCTATTCTGGGTACTCTTGTTTGCATGTTCACTTATTTCCCACAGAAACCTTGTGATGGAAGGATGGGGATAATTATCCATTTACATATGAAGAAACTGAGGGCACAGAACTAGTACGTGAAAGAGCCAAGTCTTGACCTTAGGTTGGTCTGATTCCGTAGCTCAAGTGTTGAACTGCCACTGGGCTGGAATATGTTAGAACAGAAGCAGGGGGTTAGGTGAAGATGAGCGTCTCAATGTAATTCTGGGAAACAAACGAAAAGCAGTGTTAGCAAAGCTCCACCAACTCGACGATGAGCATAACCTACTTCTGTGACACTTGCCTCCAATCAAAAACAAAGTCCTTTCATATTATCTCTTAGAAAATAGGTTTTTTAGTTCAACGTGCTAGCATATACATTGGCATCAGATAGATCTGATTTTCCATATTCTTTATACTAATGAGATAATTATTTTTACTATTCTTTGTGACAATGAAATATGAAGTCATAATCACCACATTCTAAGGACTCTAAAACGTGTCCAAACAAAAAAGAATAAAAGCAAGTATTTGACATCTACAGCATGAGAGAAGAGGCTTTGTAACAAACTGAAAACATTTCCTGCTGGTAAAGATGGGACAATAAGAACAAAACTACTTTACCAAAAACTGGTTCTCATATTTTGACTTGACAGTTAAGGAATGCTGAATTAAGTAACAACAAATCACCTGAAAATGTGAGTGAAGCAATGACAGAAAATTATCTCATAATAAATTTTCTAAATTTATTAAGAGACGTCATTATTTTAATATAATCTCTGGTGCAAATTTTAAAGTGATTGATTTAACAGCCTGTACTCTAAAGTATACACAAATGTGGATTTGTCCTGGAAGTATAAAACACTCTGGCTTATTTATTAGGCTGGCCTAATATTTTATTTATTTATTTATTTATTTATTTGTGGCTGGGTTGGGTCTTCGTTGCAGTGCGTGGGCTTCTCATTGCGGTGGCTTCTCCTGTTGTGGAGCACGGGCTCTAGGCACTTGGGCTTCAGTTGTGGTGTGCAGGCTCGATAGTTGTGGCACATGGGCTTTGTTGTTCCGCGGCATGTGCGATCTTCCCAGAGCAGGGCTTAAACACATGTCGCCTGCTTTGGCAGGTGGATTCCTAACCACTGCGCCACCAGGGAAGTCCCTAGCCTAATATTTTAAAATAAGTCTGCAGCCATACAGCCTTCATAGATTCCCTAAAATCACTTGCCAGTGCATCTCTCAGAGAGAGATCAGTGCAGAAGTAACATCATGCTCTTCCTTCTTAAACTGTTTAGGCAAGTGGAGGAAACCAGATGAAATCTGCCCAAAGCAACTTTTTAATGAGTGTTCCAGTTGGTGTGTTTTCAGTAGCTTTTAAGAGATCAACTCAGTTGGCACCAATAGCATAAAAATCCTGAGGTAGGGTGATTCCAGGCGTGGTTAAGTCAGTGGCTCATTGCCATCACTGAGGAGCCAGGTCTCTTCATTCTTCTGCTGTGCTTTGCTCATAATGTTGACTTTTGACCACGGGCTTGCAGGATGACTGCAGCAAGTTTAAGTAAGTACTTCACAACATTAAAGGCTCCCTTGTATCCCTTTTTAAGAGTAAGAAAAACTCTTCCACACTCACTGTTCAGAATTATAGACATGCCCATTCCTAAATCATCCCCTGGCAAGGAAAATGGGATTTCCATGATTGGCTGAGATAAATTAAGATTATCCTCCCTAGGGGTGGGGAAAGGTCCAGCCTTTTCTAAAGTATGCAGTCTCCCGACAACTGAGCAATGTCAAAGTTTTGATCTCAGGGAGGATGAGTGTGTGGAACTGCTGCAAAGTAAGTGTTCGACAGTGTCCGCCATGTTGAGTCAGGAAGACCCTGGAAGGAATGGCTCCCAAAGCAGGTCTGGGACCTTCCAGGTATTTGCCTTGTGGAAGGAGAATACATACTGAAGAATAACTAGATAATATTATCCCTTTTTTTCTGATTTGACATGGCAGTCTCAACCCCTGATGACTTTCAGGGAAAGAGAAAATGTTGTGATTATGCCTTTTAAAAGAGACAAGAAATTCCCTACATGGAGGAGTCAGTGGTTCAGTATTACATTTGTAACTAAAAGAAATTTGGGGGGAAGGGGGAACAAAACTGAATCTTTTAGTTCAATTTACAGAAACCCATCTGTGACAGACATACGCAATAGGAAACTTCATCTTTCATCACAGGAAGTCCAGAGGTAGGGAAGGCTCCAGGGTCGGTTGATCTGGCTCGTTCCACCTCTTGGCCCTGCCTTCCTCAGTGTTGGCTTCATCCTCAGGTTGGTGGTTGGAGTGATTCTAGGTGTCACAGCTAGTCAAGATAAAGTCCAAAAGGGGCAGAATGACAGCTGCCCATGAGGAATGGGAAGACTTTCCCCAGATGCCCCTCAGCATACTTCCTCTCCTGTTTCACTGGCCAGAGTTAGGTCACATGTCCATTCCTGAGTCCATCACTGCTTGGAGAGCTGACTAAATAAACATCTAGGCTGTGAGGATTCCAACTGCAAGTTGGTTTTCACTGTAGTTGGAATAATCAATATTCCTTACCTCTATAGCTCTAATTAATCTAATTAATCTACATCAGCAGTCAGCAAACTAATCGGCCCACCACATATTTAAAGTTTTAAAGTTTTATTGGAGCACAGCCCCATCCCTTGTTTTCCATGTATTGTTGATGGCTGCTTTTATGCCACAATGACATTTCAGTTGTGACAGAGACCATATGACTTACAAAGCCTAAAATATTTTCTATGTGATTCTTTACAGAAGTTTGCCTACCCTGATCTAAAGTTAACTGCAGTACTTTCTTTTATTTGCTTTATCCTACCTTCTGAAAGTGGCAACTTTTAATTTTATTATTCTAGGAAGGAGTGTGTGATGGTTAATTTTATGTCACCTTGACTGGCTATGGAGTGCCCAGATTAAATACTATTTCTGCGGGTGTCTGTGAGGGTGTTTGCACATGAGATTAGCATTTGTATTTGTGGTATCAGTAAAGAAGACTGCCCTCCCCAGTGTTGGTCGCATTATCCAGTCCATTGAGGGAGGGTGTGAATAGAACAAAAGGCAGAGGAAGGAGGAATTTACCCCCTTTTCCTGCCTCACTGTTGAGCTGGGACATCTCATCTCATCCTTTCCTTCCACTCAAACTGAGGTTTATACCACTGACTCCCCTGGTTCCCTGGTCTTCAGACTCAAACTGAATTATACCACTGACTTTCCTGGGTCTCCAGCTTGCAGATGGCAGACTGTGGGACTTCTCAGCCTCCATAATAACATAAGCCACTTCCTCATAATAAGTCTCTCTCTCTGTCTCTCTCTCTGTCTCTGTCTCTCTCTGTCTCTCTCTGTCTCTCTCTCTCTCACTCTCTCACTCTCTCTCTCATTTATATATACTGTATCTATCATCTATCCCTATTGGTTCTGTTTCTCTGGAGAACCCTATTACAGAGTGAAACCTATGTTCATCTTATCCATAGTTGTATGATTACATATATTTTATCGATTTCCTTTGTGAGTTTTTAAATTGAAGACACCTAGTCTACATAAGATACCTACATAAAGTCAAGTCAATGACTCAACAGGTTTATGCTGTTTATACAGGATCCAGTCAGTGGCGTGTTGGACCCGGTTTGTACTGACTTGTAAGAGCTATTTGCTAGCATGGCTTTCAAACTCTGCCTTCAGCGACCTTGGTGGTGTGAAATTGACCATGGTGGGGAGTAGGTACACCACAGAAATTGGCAGACACTTAAATTGAGATTGTTCGCTGTTCTTTTTTTTTTTTTTTCCTGAAGATCTGGTTGTTAAATATTTACCAGCACACCATGGCTCCAGCCATTATACACACCTCTCTCTGCTCTATAACTGCATAACAGAGAATGCCAATGGTGATCGGGGCTTTACCAATACATTCAGCTTCAAATGATTTGTAATCTGAAGTAGTCAGTTAAATCCCTCTTGCAATGAGATAATGTAACCTGTGTTTTAAGTGTTACATAGCTTTTGATTTGTATAGGTTTTTTTCTAAGTAAATATTTCTCTTAGATAAAACATACAGATGAAATAAATGAAAGCAAAATATCTTCCCCTTAAACTATCTAAAATTACAAGCATATTTATATTTTATAATTTATGTAAACCACTTGTGTGTGAATAAAGCGGAATATAGCTATCAGTGTACAAGGATCAAGTGTTCTGAATTCTCACTTTGTTCTGGAGTGAGTGTAGTGTTCACTGGGATCCGAAGGGAAGCCCTAGGTTTGGAGAGACTTGCCTTAATAAAAAGTGCACTCATTCATTTAAACAAGCATTTATTAAGCATCTATTAAATCCCAGGCAACAATGACTTGCAAAAGACCTGGGCCCTGCTCACATAAGCCTTACAATCTAATGAGGAAGATAAATGTTAAACAAATAATCACATAAATGAGTACAAAATTAACAGCGGAACAGTAGGAAAGAAATGTAAATTTTTGTAAGCATGGGGAACTTGACCCATCTGGGTTGCAGAGAGTAAGAGGGAAAGAGTTCCAAGTTGAAATCTATATTCCAGGGAAATCTACTGGGTTGGCCAAAAAGTTCATTTGGGTTTTTGGAAAAACCTGAATGAGCTTTTTGGCCAACCTAATATTTTCCAAGAGATCCTGAAAAAACTTGCCAGCCATTGTGGGCTCAAGAACGATGGGGGACCATTTGAAGGGTTTTAAGCACAGGAGTGTCAGGATTAAATATGTATTTTCAAAAGATCTGTGGCTGCAGAGGCACAAGGATCTTGGCATGGGGAGAATGAGCAGAGGGAGAGCAGTCCTTTGGCTATTGCAGCAGTTCTGGTGGGGTTTAGGGAGGCTCAGACCAGGGCATTCATGGAGGATGTGGTGAGAAGTGGCTGAAACACATCTGAACTCACTGAGCTCCCCACAAAACACTTCAGCTGCCTTCAAGGAGTTTATAATGTAGTTGAAGAGGAAACTCATGGGTATAAAGTCACAGCAACAGTGTATAATTAGGAAGTAAACTGAGGAGATCAACTGAGGGACATAGGAGTTGAGAGCAAGAAATGGGCCAGGAGTCCAATGGTTAGGATTTGGAGAGAGAGAGAGGCCAGAGGAAAGAGGTGGCAAGAGGCAGGGCAGTGAGGGGAGGAGCAGAGATGGCACAATGGGATGAAGAACAAATCTTGCTGGATATGCAGGGTAAGGCCAAATTATGAGAACTTGAGAAGGTCAGAATTTGAAAGACTTGATGTGAGATGAGAATGAGCCACTAAAAGTATTTTACATAAGAAGGAAACCAAACGAAAGTAAGCTTTAAAGAAGTTTAGTTTTACCAAATTCTTGTGGTTAATTAGGCGGAGAAGAACTTGCTGCCTGCATGGTTGTTGAGTAGGGGATTGGACTTAGCTGTTGACAATTAAGAAAGGAGGTGAGGCCTAGAGGAAAACATGGGCAGAACACTCTTTGATGTAAATCGCAGAAATATTTTTTTGGATCTGTCTCCTATAGTAAAGAAAATAAAAGCAAATATAAACAAATGATACCTAATTAAACTTAAAGCTTTTGCGCAGCAAAGGAAACCATCGGCAAAATGAAAAGACAACCTACCAAATGGGAGAAAATATTTGCAAATGACATGACCAAAAAGGGATTAATATCCAACATATATAAACAGCTCATGCAACTCAACATCAAAAAAAACAAGCAACCCAGTTGAAAAATGGGCAGAATAACTGAATAAGCATTTTTCCAAAGAGGAAATGCAGATGGCCAACAGGCACATGAAAAGATGCTCAACATCGCTAATCATCAGGGAAATGCAAATCAAAACCACAATGAGGTATCACCTCACACCTGTCAGAATGGCTAT